CTTTCCGCAGCTCCTTTAATTGTTTGTTATTGTTATCACGATTATTCTTTAAAATAAAGTTATATAGTCATTAACGTTATTGAAACTGACAGCTGCTATACAGCTCGTTGAGAAATGAGGTTAAGTTGGTCGCTATAAGCTACTCCCTACGTCCAATGTGTCAGAGCCAACTTCGACCACGTTTTTATTTGAACGCTCCGTATCTACATTAAAATCACCCACAATTATTACTTTGTTATTTTTGTTCTTACTTACACATTCTAACATTTCTTCCATTTGAATTAGAAACACTTCATAATTAGCACCAGATGGTCTGTATATTGACATTACAATTTATTCTAATATTTGCAGCTGAGCACTCAATTTCACCTGCAATCGATAACCGTTTTAACTCCTTGTTTTCTTTTCCGTTGATACCTTTCTTCACAAACACTGCTGACCCCCCGTGTTCTTGATGTTTCCTGCAGAAATAAGACACAAGGTAAAAATTGTTTATTCCATGTTCCCTCAGTTGCTGTTCAGTCACCAACCAATTATTCATTGGCAGCCATATTGGAATATGAATACGGAATTAAATAGTTAATATTGAGAAACAAACAGAAATAACAATTAACAATAGAGAACAAAAGAAAAAGTATCACAACAAATGTTCGAAATGTTGTCCTCGAACCTCAATGCATTTCTCACATTGCCTAAGTAAGCTTTGAACTGAATTTCACAATTGTTTCCAATTCTTCTTAACATTTCAAGAGTACAGACTGGTGAACTATACACCCTTTCTTTAATAAATCCCCAAATGAAATAATCCATGGGATTTAGATCTGGTGATCGTGACGGCTAAGCAGTGGGATCGGTACCAAGCTCTGTATGATTCATTTCCAAAATACACCCGATTCAATGACGTAAATAGTGCTCCCCCAGCCACTGCCTAATTTGAAGAGCATAATGAGCCGGAATCCACATATTTCTCCTTAGAAGTAATGGTAAGTCGTTGAGTAAAGTATTTAAATCTTCTTGAAGGAAATTATGGAATAGCTGTGAATTTAATCTGTGAGATAAATATGATGACCACAAGCTTCCTGATTAATAACTCCTAAGATTACACTCGTGCTGAAATGAGGTTCTGTTCTGGTGAAACAAGCCTCGTTGGTTCAAAGAACGCTTTCAATAAAATGTGGACCACGCCTATGTGTTTCCAGTAACCATCAGCAAAATTGCAATCGTTTTTCGGGATCACCTGGTATTAAATTTTGTACGTTTTAGAAATGGTATGCGGTTCTTTTGTCTCGCTTCAATGTTCTGAACACTTTACTCTGTGAGAGACGTAGTTATAAAGCAGCCTTTCTTGTACTTGACATACCATTATTTGCATCAAACAGTCGAAGAATTCTGTTATTTCTAAAATGATGATGTACTTGCTGATCATTTGCCCTGCCAAATCCATTTTCAGACAATTTAATATGGGTACGAACAAATACTGTCACTGTAGGAATTCTTCTATTTGGAAATTGTCTCCTGTATTCTGGTACCGCTGCTGCTGAATTTCCATTAGAGTATTGTAACGGTTCAATTAAATTTATTGAGGATTATAATTAAAACTTAAGGACGGCTGGTATATATTCTGTTTAATCATGTTTATGGACCTAAACCATAGGCAACATTCATTACCTTTCTTTTCTGGCTACAAATCTAAGCCGTTTAATATATGAGACTCGCAAAAAAGGTAACGATAGTTTTTGCAATGGGGAGATAGGTTTTTACGTTTTCGTACGGGCTATCGCTAAGGTGCAAGTGTGGAAAATTTTCTGCTAATTAACGCTTGTGTTACCTAAAACGGGGATTTTGTGTCCGGAAATTGGGTGAAAATTGTGTTTCTGTGATGCATTTTGGATAGTACGTATCTTGGAACCTTCTGGAGGAATACAATTGCAGCATTGGCTGGATCTTAGTACACCTTTGCGATTGGAAAATCAGGCCGTAATATCTAATTTCCCTTATATGATTATTGGGATACTAAATAAGCCACTCTCCATCTCTGTAAGTAATTACTCTATTTTTTTTCCATTATTCCTCATTTACCTTCTGGTGTATCGTATTTTATAGGGCTTTTTACCACGGGCTGACATCCCTTATTATCAGTAGAGAGACTAACTTCCATCCCTTGACATTCAACCTTTGAGGCAGCCTCTCAGCTGGTCTTACATCACTGCTACAAGGATCTATATTGTGTCATCGGGGTACGAGCTAGATCTTGGCAGAGTCTTCTATGGGCGTGCTCAATGTGTCGGTGCATCTGCAACTGCAGGGTCTCCAGATAAGCAAAACTTATTACTTTATTTTTTGAATTTATTCCTTTGGTTTCTTGCACCGAGGCAAGCAAGTAGAGATAGATTATATCTGACTCCTAATAATTGCACCAATTAACAGCTGATCTATATATGTATATATTTTTTTCCTGTTTTTTTTAAATAATTTTGTGTAATAATATAAAATACCTATATAAGGTATGTGCATGTTCAGAACCTTTTTTTGTGCACTTTCTTTGAACATTACTAAATTACAATTAGTCTTAAACCTACGGTGCAAACCATATTCGTAAACTTATCTGTTACTCTTTTTGTTATTCCAAATAAGATAATTCTATGAGCTAATACCGGCTGTCAGTAAGCAAAAGTTGTACCTATGTATTTTCCTATCATTTTTAATTTGTAAACAATTACTAAAACTTTCAGACTTACCTACATATTCATACAAATGATCAGTAAATAGCTTATGGTTGTGTCCCCGATTACTGTTAAACTTTTCCTTTTCTTCTTTTATTGCTTAGTTATTTTTTTTCTTCCCAGTCAGTTATATTAGGTAGTCCGGTTACTATTAGATATTTATATTTCTTACTAATATCGTTTATTCAATTTGTTTATAGAGAATTAGATAAGGATTAATGATCGTCCACCTATCGTGATCACGAGTTGTCTCCCAAATGAGATTTATTATCATTTATTTATATTCATTTATTTTATAGGTATCGTCGACTTAGATACTTTAGTTGTGATTTGAACATAACAACGTTAATAAATATTAGTAACTGAACTATTTCGTTCTATTAATTTAGTAAATTGAACATACTAAAATATAACTGAATTAGGTGTTGCTACTAGTTGCTAAATAAGCTATTTTGGGTCAACATTATCTTTTAACTCAATATTTAGTAACCGAATATTGAGTAGCTTAGAACCCTAGGGTAAATGGTTACTGGCGCCCTTAAACTAAATGGTCCTCTTAAAGAATGACCGCATGACCAGCTCCGGCTGAAGGCTAGCTTAGGGTTTTGCACATCTAACTTGGACCTTTTTTTTTCCTTTAAGATAAGGGTAAGTACATCAACCCTCAGCGAAACAAGAAGGTAGCAGTATCCATAAATAAAATGTTTATCCACGTATTCGGCATTAGTAAATTGTCTAGGCGTATTTTAATAATGCAATGTAAAATCAATGACTGAGGAAATAATTTTACGTACGTCAAAATACATATAAACAATTGTTATTCTAAGAATCAGCTGCAAAGAGCATGAGATTTTTTTCCCAAAAAATTTGTACCACCTACAGCAGTTTCTTTAAGTAATAATGTTTTAGATGTCACTTTAAAATATCATTAACACATAACTGATACATTTTGGACTCCTTAATTATAAATTTAAATAGTGTCGTACGTCCTTCAATCATTGCTCTACTTACCTAATTGTAATTAATCCATAAGAAGCCATTTTTCTGAAAAACCAAGCATTTCATTTAAAAATAGTAAGTGACTTTTTTGCTGTAGAATATACCGCAATGTAAAAAAAATATATTCATACAGTGGAACATGACGCAGTGGAATAATGTCAGATAATCACAGATGAGTCTTGGTTTTGTCTATACTCTATACCAAGGGCCGGACCGCGGAAGGTAAAATACTGGACCGCCAAAAATTTTTTGAAAGCATAAATTACTCAAGTAAATTATTTAAAAAATGTTTTTTTACGTTTGAGCCAACCTTATCATTGTTTCTAGTATTTTACAATTGTGTCAGTGTTTTGAGTTCTTAATGGTTAGTAAGCAGATTAAATTTGAGTCCAAATGAAAATTTGTAAGAAATATGAATTTTTTTTTGGACCTCGTTAAAAATTTTTAAAAGTATCCGGACCCCACCTAAAATTACTTGCCGACCCCTGCTCTATACGGTAACGACGGACAGCTACGAGTTTGGCGTCGTCGCGTCGTGGAGAACGCTTTTCACAAAACTGCATTGCCGCGTTCAACGGAGTAATATCGCGGGCAGGAATATCGCGATTTTCACAAACTCCTTCGTTATCATCTGTGACAATTTGAATGCCAGGTGTACATTGGAGCTGACGAAACAGGCTAAAAGACCCTGGCCCCTTAAGACCCTTAAGACCTTTAAGCCAGAAAAAATTTTTCTGTAAAAAATTGTAAAATTTTTGCCGTTTATTTTCATACTATACCTACTATAACTTTTATAAATTGTGAGAAAATCTATTTTGTTTTAGATAATGGGAAAACATCCTTAAATTATCTCTTAAAGGGAAACATGAGTTACAGACCCAACTCTGGCTCAAAATTTCCTTCAGGACATAGAAGATCTGAATCTGTAGGTCACCAACGTAATTCCAGCAACTCTGGTCATAACAGATCTGACTCAGGCCACAGTTTAAATTTTGACCGTGAAGAAAGAAAACAGGGACACCATCAATCCAAATTTGTGCATGAGAAGGATTCCAATGTAGCGGGAGGTACGTTTTTCCGAATAGACGATCTTGAAATATTTACTTACGTTCCATTTGTTTTAGTATCCAACCGATTGGAATTCCATTCAAATATCCAGTCAAGTGAACGCCGTTGTACAAGACCAACTTCACTTTATCCTTTGAAGACAAATGATAGCGGCATAATTGGGCATGATGTTCTTCAGCCAGAAAGGGAACCTATTCACTTTGATATTATGTTGGTTGGAGCGCCACCCGAGGTTGAACAATTGGTTGATAACATTAAACGAGTTGCAGAACATTTTCTTTACCATTGGAAGACTTTTCCTATAAGTAAGAACTAAATTTATTCATAAAAAAGTATATTCTATTAAAAACGATGCCATGTAACAGCTATACTATACAGGGTGTCCCAGTGTCAGCATACAAAAATTTACCAGGGGGTAGAACAGGCCAAAATAAGATTAAAATTCTTATAAAATATTTTTCTGCCATGCACTTTCACGGAGTTACAGGGTGTTGTTTAGAAAAAAATAAAAACAACTTTTCGCAATAACTCAAAAACTCTTTCAGGGATTTAAGTAATTTTTGGGCGAAGTGTATATCTATTAAAGGTCATTAAAACTACATGGTGCTGATTTCGATCAGACGCCAGGGGCGGCCTAGGCCAACTTGTCCTCAATGTTATGTTTTCATAACTTTTGCATATCCTAGTTTTATGTAACTGGATTACATTTTCCTGAATCAGTAATTGATTCTGAACAAAAAATGTGCTCTTGTTTCGTAGCTCAAAAATGAACCGTCTTCGAGTAAATTGGGTCTAAAGTATCGACTGCATTATTTCGTAAAAAAATGCATGTAAAGATTTTATTTCTTATCTAGTAGGTACCTGTCATTATAAAAAACAAACTTGTTTACCGTTGAGGTACAGTTTCCCACGAATGTGAAGAAACTAAACAAGTTTTCTATGAATTATTTAATATCTGGTTACGTATAGGGGAACTGAAAATAAAATTGAAAATTATGTAACAGAAACGAAATTATGTTAGCAAAATGACAATAATAATAAAAATAGAAAATAATTATTTCAATAAATGCTCGATATGCTGCCCATTTACTTCAATGCATGCCCGACATCGTTTGACCAAGGAATTGTAAACCCTTCGCAAATCAACTGTTGCTTGAATTTGCTCGGTGGCTGCATTAATTTTTTGAATCGTCTCTCGTGTTACTGGGTTTGACATACACCAGTTGTTTCATATGACCACAGTAAAAAAATCAAACGGGTTGAGGTCAGGAAACCTGGGAGGCCACATAATAAGTCCATTTTTCCGAATTCAGCGTTCTGGAAAATGTAAATCGAGTTCTGAATTCAAACAGTCTACAATAATTTGAGGAGGCAGAATGACTCCGTTGGAGATTCCTCCCCAGACATTTATGGAGAATTTTCTTTGAAATGCGGAGGGTCGTATCACAAGCGGATTTTCAATGGATCAGATGTGAAAATTTTTTTAATTTATAGCATTTCTCGTAAAGATAGTTTCATCACCCCACAATATCTTCTGATGGAAATTTTGGCCATTATCGATATTTTCTAACAACCACCTGCAAAATTGTAACCTTTTTTCGGAATCACCAGGATGCAAAATTTGTATTTAATGTAGGTGGTATGGGTGCAATTCTTCTCGGTTTAAAATTCTCCAGACGCTGCTTCGTGGAATACCTACTTGCGTTGATATTCTTCGGGCACTGGTGGAAGGATCATCAATAACAGCAGCATTCTGTATTTTCAATTTTAACATTCCCGGTCTCACAGACTCTTTGGAAAACTCGTTGGAATACTTGCTCTGAAGGTTGCCTTCTATTTGGAAACCTGTGTAGATATTCTCATGAGGCCACCAATGAATTTCCATCACAGAAACCGTAGACAAATATTATATCAGCATATTCATTGTTGGAAAATTTCATAATAATTTCATAATCTTGTTGTTTTGTAAACTTAATTTCTAGTAACTTTGAGTACTGTAATTAATTTTGACATGTACGCTTGTAAAAAGCTTTGTTTATTATAATGACAGGTACTTACTAGATAACAAGAAATAAAATCTTCACATGCATTTTTCTACGAACTAATGCAGTCGATACCTTAGACCCAATTTACTCGAAAACGGTTCATTTTCGAGCTATGAAACAAGTGCTCATTTTTTGTTCAGAATCGATTGCAGATTCAGGAAAACGTAATTAAACTACATAAAACTAGGATATGCAAAAGTTATGAAGACATAACCTTGAGGACAAGTTGGCCTAGGCCGCCCCTGGCATCAGATCAAAATAATCACCATGTAGTTTTAATGACCTTTAATAGATGTACACTTCACCCAAAAATTACTTAATTCCCTGGAAGGGTTTTTGAGTTATTGCAGAAAGTTATTATTTTTTTCTAAACAACACCCTGTAACTCCATGAGAGTGCATGGCAGAAAAATATTTTATAAGAATTTTAATCTTATTTTGGTCCGGTCTACCCCCTGGTACATTTTTGTACGCTGACACTGGGACACCCTGTATAAAAATGGAATATATTGACAAGATTGTCACTAGATTTTATCTTGCTAATTTGATTTTCTATCTTAACATTATACACGCAAAACATTTTTCACGATTTTTTAAAGTTTAATGTGTAGGTTATGTAGCCCTATACATTATTGCTCTTTGAGAAGTGAGCAATCATAATCTTTTCAGATCAAAATATATGGGGGTACTATTTAAAATAATGTATGTTGGTATCATATTTTTTTTTAGATAAATGTTTTTAATTAGGTATTTTGAAACACATATAGGTCCAAGTTTTTAAAAAAATTTTTAAATGAATTGGAATTCAAATACAGTGAAACCCCGATTATCCGTGCGCGGCTGATCCGTGCGGCGGATTTATGACTATTCGCTATGCTTGCGCGGATTATCTGGAGCGGGGCGAAAAAAGCGCTCAGAAACAAAAACAAAGACAAGTCTCTTCTTGTTTGTTGCATACATATATTATTTACTTACGCAATTTAGCATTTGCTTAGTGCACTGTTTTTTCAATTACATATCTTGTACATACAATGTACCTAATGCTTGTACCTACAGTCTGTTTGATAAGAGCGTGTATGGCAAAACTTTATCTTCAAAACCGTTAGAGGAGAAATTTAAGCTTGAGCAGGTAGTGATATCCTTCCTCTCAGATGCTTTGTACAGAATGCCTCAGTTGTCGTTTGACCTTGGTCGCAGAATAATGTATTTTGCCATGTCTGCTGCGTACGCATCATGTTACAAAGCCGTATTTCTGTGTTTACCTCCAAAAGGACCGAAAATGTTGCTCGGAGCGGCCGCTAAGTACATGAAAAAGTTGAAGACAGTGGGTGAAATGTCATTCCGACGTAAAAAAACGTCGATGACCTACCGGATCGTGGCTCTGTATGAAAAACAACGAAAAAGCAGGACAGTGATTTTACGGGTGTTTGAGAAGAATCCTTGTCTATCATTGAGTAGGGGGCAAGCGATTTTGTGTAAAAAGGATTAAATTTATCATGTGACACTATAAGAAGACGTTTACTCATGAAGTGAAATTTTGAAGCACAGTGAAAAAACCGCTACTCACATACTCAATTGGCCGAAACAAAATTTGGACCGTGATTGGGACAACGTAATTTTTTCATACGAAGATTCTTTTTGGGCATGTTCTTCTATCACTCATACCTGGTCTACCCACGCCAATAGACTCATCCCGGTAAATATGCACGTCTGGAGCTGTCTCTCAAAGCAGGGATTTGGCAATTTGCACATCTTCACAAAAAATTTGAACGCTGCCAAAATGGTCAAAATATATCAGAGGGCTTTATTACCATCTGCCGAAAGGTGGTTGACGTGGAAAAATGAAAATTGGCTACTGCAAGAAGACACTGATCCAAAACATCGGAGTCGTCTTTGTACTGCATGGAAGCAAGAAAATGACGTTAACATACTGGATTGGACATCGCAGTCACCAGATGCAAATCCAATAGAAAATGTGTGGATGCTCGTGAAATTGAAGCTTCGAGACAAGAAGATCTGGACTGTTAAGCAGTTATTTTGACAGATTCAATTGACATGGAGGTCTTTGCCAGTATTCTATACAATTAGTAGAAAGTGTGCCTCGGAGATGCCAGACAATTATTAATAATGGAGGCGATTGGACATATTAATAATAAAGCATCATGGTCTATACTCTATATCATGTAAGTAGTATGTATGTATTTTTTTTCAAGTCATTATCCCAAATAATTTTTGGAGTTTTGCCGTACACGCTCTTATCAAACAGACTGTATGCAATTAGGTACGTACATATGTATCAACTTTTTTATTTTTTATTGTCATACATACATATGTTACATATTTATATAATGTGGAAATCTTCTTGAACCTTTTGTTTAATATTAAAACATATTTATTTTCTTGGGAATTGAGTTCTGGTGTGATAGTCAGTTAAAAAAAAGGATAAAAGAAATAGCAGTGATTTCTTTCCTGACGTTTCGTTCCTGATTAGGAACTTTTTCAAAAGGCTCTTATTGTTAAAATTGTTATAGTTAATTAAATAAAACCTAAAATACAAACAAACTATTTAATATTTGGAAACAATTTTTTCCTGTAATTACAATTAATTTAATAAAAATATAATTTTGTCAATACATACCTAAGCAACCATTTTCCGAAAAAAAAATTTTTTAAACTATGCATCAGTCATCGTACAGTGGATAAATTTTCACAATATAATAATATTATGTTTTTTCATTTTAAAATTGAAAAAGGCTTGCATTTTTAGATGTTGTAAGCATGTCAGGATAATATTAATCGGCAGTGTGGTACGTGGATAAGTTGACAATGAAATGAGCAATGATATGATATGATTGATTGATTGATATGATTATGATAAAATCGAAACAGGTAGTACGCCTGACGGTGAAATTTTGTAAATTAAAAATAGAAAGGACATCTAGTAATTTTATTGGAAACTATGTTTTAAAAGTATATAAAACTATTTTAAATGTGATTTGTTTATATGATAATAAGTGGAAATAACTAAAACATAATTATTATTTGATTAAATTGTGATATATTTGACTTAAGTTTTTAATGTCAGTTTTGTCGTTAATACTGTTTTTATATTTTTTTTATATGTATCATTTCTTGGATTAATCTTCTATTATAATTTGGTTCTTTGACAATGTTTTTTTTCCTTAACATGTTTTTATTAAGTGCTGTTGCACAATTTTTAGTATATTTATGACCCTTTAATCTATTTTCTAAATTTTGTGA